GTTGCCGACCCCTGCTTTATGCAATCAAAACATAATGGCTGGGGAGAGATGGATTCCCAAGTCCTCCTTCAGCCTCAGGAATTCAGCTGTTATAGCACAACCTTCAGGCTTCACTGACAATGTTTACAATCTTTGCAGTAAAACCTGGATTGATTGATTAAGCTGCTACTCCATCTCTCCCCATTTCTGATCCTGTACATTTCCAGTACTGCAGGGCAGCTGTAGCAAGATCTTGTGGAATGACAAGTTCCTATCCACTTGTCAGTCCATAGCTCCAAAACAGAATAGGAACACTGATTGTGGAGCAGGTAAAAGGTCACCAGAATTGAGACTGATGGTGTATTAGATGAATTATAACTTCTGAACTTAGTAGTACACCTCTACCCCGATATAACGCTGTTCTCGGGAGCCAAAAAATCTTACCGCGTTATAGGTGAAACCGCATTATATTGAACTTTCTTTGATCCGTCGGAGCACGCAGCCCCGCCCCTCCGGAGCGCTGCTTTACCATGTTATAGCCGAATTCGTGTTATATCGGGTCGCGTTATATCGGGGTAGAGGTGTACTAGTTTTTTTAAACTGCTGCTGTTTTGATTTTTGTTATCTCTATCCTTTTTGAACACTAATGTATCTACATTGTGCCATTTCCCTGTGCGCTTTGCAAATAAAATCTGTCCCTTTGTGTGTTCCAGGTTTAAGGACACTATTGTGAATGCAAAGTATGGAGGGCACACAGAGGCTGTGCGGAGGCTGCTGGGTCAGCTCCCAATCAGCGCTCAGTCTTACAGCGGCAGCCCTTACCTTGACCTCTCCCTCTTCAGTTATGATGACAAGTGGGTGTCCGTCATGGAACGGCCAAAGACGTGTGGAGATCACCCCATCAGGTATGAAGAAGAGGCAGAAAATTGCACATGGCTAGGACTGAATGCGTGTTTCTCAGAAATGTACATGTGTCTCGACTGTGTCTCAGACTGAAGTGTACATATAGGGATGTTTCCCTTTTCCCCTCCTCTGTCCCATTCCAGCAGAGTCCTTGTTTAGATTATTCCGGAGAGACCAGTAAATTAGGAAGCTCTGTCTTTCCTCTCCTATGGACTGTGCCTATTTTACATATGCACATTTACATTTGGCTCTTTCAAAAGCGGAGTTGAAGCGCATTGGTCATGTTGAGAGGCAGAAACGGGTAGTGAAACTTTAACATCCTTTTATATGAACATTAAATCCCCCCTCTTCTCAGACTCCAGCCTTTTGCTATATGACAGCCAGGATGCTATGGTTGCAATGTATGAGTCTGTTTTGCCACGGCAAGAAAATGCTTGTTTTGGGAGGTGGGGCTGGCCAGCACTTATACAAGTCTGATTTGTTTAAATGTCTTTATATGTTATATGTTACCCATAACATTCACAGCGCTGGTTTGACTGTCTTTATACTCCGTTGTCTGTAACGCACACTGAGAAACTTAGAAACCAAAGTCATCTTTCACTATGAACTTTATTCCTCTTCATTTAACAAACACTGGAGTCTGTGGTCCCCTTTTCCCTATCGTCTCTTGTGTTTCTCATGATTTGGAAACCTATAATGCATAAGAAACTTGCTTGCACAGCAGAACCTTTGGTCAGACCTAAGGGCCATTCTGCTTATTTCTGTCTGTGCCTTATTAACAGGAATATGCCTAACCTTGAAAGTAGGGAGGTTTGCAATGCTCCTTGCAGACTAACGGGGAGCTTGCACATTTCTATCTTGGGCATGCACAAATTGTTTCTGTTTATTGGCCACAGCAATGGATTTCAAGAATAGCTGTTTGGATTCTGGCACTTCCCCCACCAGATTCAAAACGTTTTAAGGAAGATCATACTTTGGGCCTAAATGTGCTGAGTGTCCCAAGGCAGAAAACTGCACAGCTCTTAGTGCCTGAAGAGCGAAATAAATCCTACATTTTGTGAACAAAGAGAGAGAGATCAAAGAGTTAATACTGCGCTCTGTGACTGCCCTGATGTCAGTGTTTTGATCTGCCCAGAGAGATGGGAAACTGGTCGCAACCACCAACTTTATTGCTGTCCACGGTATTCCCTCCTGCACCATGCACACTATACCTGCCTAAGATTTGGGAACTTCTGACCATTCATACACACACAATCCCCAAATCATAGCTATTTAATTGATTTCCCGTGTACGGTTTGGTTTGAACTCACTCTGTACAGTCTGCAGAAAAATATCTGCTTCTTTTCCTGTCGCTGTACTTGATGTTCAGACATCTCACTGGGTGGTGTTTGTCTGCATCTGCCAACCTTTGTGCAGCTTCTACAGACAAAAGGGAGTAGGACTGCAGACATTTGCTGTGGTCACGTCTTCTGTAGTAAACAAAGCAAACTACCACCTTCCCTCTCTCCCCTGAGTAGACGTGTAGCTTTGCGCTTTAGAAGATCAGGTTATAAAATGCCAGAGTCAATCAGGACTTGAATAGGGGTTTGGAGCTGTGGGGGGCTCCTGTTTCCCAGCTGCCTGCTTATAGTATGCAGGGCAATTCAACAGCAGAAGTAACCCTTAACCCTTCAACAGCTGGAAAAGTGCTGCCATGTTTCTCTCACACAAGACAGTGATTAATAAGATACAACAGTGGCCCATCATGCAGAAAACGGTTTTGAAATAAAGACGCGTTAGCTTTATTTTCTCATTACTGGTAATGTAGGATTTATAGTGACAGTTCCATGCACCTGGCATTGGCACAGAGCCCATCAGCAGCCCAAGGTACACTCAATCTATATTTTATTTTATTTTTGAGGTCCCGTAGTTGTGTCCTGCACCATCTCGGCACCCACTCATGCTGCCTTTAGCTTAACTCCTCCCCACTCTTAGTTTTACTGTCTCTCTTCCCCTGGAAGGCTTTAGCAGTCCTCTCTCTCAGCTGCTGGAGTGGTTAACATCCTGCTTCCTGGCCTCTTTGCTGATGGAATGGCTTCAGGGCCTTTTCCCCAATATCTGTTTACAAGAGGCTTGGCAGCAAACTCACAGCAGGGAACTACAAAGCTTGTGGGGGGGATGCATGGGCTGCCAAATCCTTAACACAGCAACTCCTGTGTTACGGGTTAAAGCTTTTAAATCTAAAGGGTTAATAAGGAGCCTACTTAAAGAAGTGGTCTGCAGATAAATTTACCATTTTTGTACAATTTGAAAAGGCTGGTCTTGTTGTTTTTATTGACTCAAGGTCTTCTATTTCAGTGCCTAGTTTATCCACAGAGTGAGAGTCCATGGAAATGGCCTCTGATTGCAGAGCACTTTTTAAAAATACCAACCCGAGCACATCTTTGAGATTACCTGAGATTACAGGGAGCTCATCTTGAGTGTGTTTAAATTACATTGAATTGTGGAGAGAGGAGCAGCCCACAGGCCATGTTTTAGTTAGAAACCAACCCCCCACATGCCGACTTCTGTGTAGGAGGGAGCTTTTTGGAAAGCCAAATACTAAGATTGTAGCTCTTTTGCTTCATTCTTATGTGTAATTGGCAGGCCAGTTGGTTGGCACTCTTATTCAGGTGAGGAGTGAGATTGGAGAGGAGAATGGCATGCTAGAAAAATGCAAGGAATTTAGCAAGCTGCATTATCAAAACCTGGAGGGTGTCTGATATTGAAAGAATCTGTCTGGAGCCATTGCTGCCAGCCTAAGAGCTGTGAGTGTATCAGGCTAGCAGGTGGTGTTGGGAAGAATGTGCTCTGATACAAAAGCAATTTTGAGCTGAAACCAGAGGCAAATGCAAACAACCAAAAGCTACAAGGCAGGAAGGAAATGGAGACAGATAGGGACAGAATGATCATCACAAGTCTGTGCTCGGAAAAAGGTCCTTATCGTGGAACCAACTTCGGGGCCAGTGCTGATGGATTTGTGTAATAACAGGAGGCCATTTGGTTTTCAAATTATCTGAAGAACCCACCGAAGTATTGGGTGGAAGGTGAAGTTGCAGAGATCCTTGTGTTATCCTAGAGATGTAGGGGGAGCAGCTTGAAACAGCATAACTCTTGGACATGGAGAGGAGTTCCTCCAGGACACAGGAAAGATCAAACAAACAAAGGAGTGCTAGGCAGAACTCCCTTTACAGGCAGCCAACACTGCTCTGCTTATGGGCCAGAAAGTCAGTGAAGAGCAATGTCCACTTCTTACGTGAGCCACATTGCAGACCACTCCAGGTTTGGGGAGCAAGGGTCCAATCTGAGTCTCAGAGGTGGATCTCTGCATGGTAGTACATTGGGTGATTTCTTTCCCTTTCCAGATCATCCAGATTTGCTGTGATCACTGCATTTGGCCATTAAGCGACTTTCTCCTAGACTCTTGCATTGACAGTTTTCACTGGAAATCAGCAAGTGACTGTGAAGTCTGGCTGTAAAGTAGTGTAAGGCACCCTAGAGCAAAGTCAAGTCCAGTAGCTCTCTTACATCTTCTGAATGGGGACACAGCCAGGGGACGTGATGTGCGAGTAATCAAGTCACATAGCAGCAATGTGGTGTTGTGTCTCTCCTGTTCTACCAAAAAGACTTCACAACGCATTCTCACAGTTAGAGAGTGAAGGCTGTTGTTTAAAAGTTACTAAAAGGAATGGGTCTGTATTCTCATTTGCTCATGTGTAACTCCCATTATGACTATGGGATATGTTTGCATCAGTGGGATGGTAGGGAGCCAGTATGTATTTTATTAGGGATAAAGCCTTTTACTTCTAACTGTGGATCCAGAAATCAGAGCCCGCAAGAGTGAAATACAGCCCTTTGCAAGAGGCTTCTTCATTTATGGTACTAAAATGAGTTAAAATGTTAGAGATTAAAAACTTCTACCCAGGAAGGGACTTTCCCTACGTGACCTTCCATCATTTGTAGTGCTTAGTCAATGCTATGTATTGGCCAGTGCAGGCTGAGTCTGTCGCACCATCTTGCCAGCATTCTTTTGGGTAAATTCCAGGGATGGAATAAGGAGCAGTCATCAGTGGCACCAGTCCCTTTTCATGCAGAGTTCAAGATGGCAAAACCAGTGAGCAGGAATAGACATAATCAGCATTCTCTGTTTCTCTTCCTTACAGATTTTATGCCCGGGATTCTGGCCTTCTGAAGTTTGAAATCCAAGCAGGACTCTTGGGCCGACCCATCAATCACACAGTACGACGCCTGGTTGCATTCACCTTTCACCCCTTTGAGCCCTTTGCCATCTCGGTGCAGCGGACTAATGCAGAATACGTTGTTAATTTCCACATGAGGCACAGCTGCACATAGTACAATCCTGGGCTGGGGCAGCTGTTGCCATCATGGACACACCAAAGCCAGACACTCATGCCTTCTAGGAAACCAAACCATTGCTCACCTACGGAACCTGACCTGGAAGCCCTAACCAACCAGCATTGTTCCCCAGCGTCTGCAGCTGGCACTCGCAAGCCATTGAAAGAGAATCCCATTGTGCTTCTAAAGAAGCCATCTTGATTGGAGATAATTTCTTTCTATAGATATCCAGTTCATATTGCCAAAGCCCCTTGTTGCATTAAACCCTGTCTTTTCCCACACCTATTGGTGAACAAAATGTAGCTGAGAAACCTTGCCTGTTTCTCCAAGGAGTGTCTTCTTTTCTCTCGCTTTGTCTGTTTTGTGATAGGAAAGGCAGAGTTCTCAAACCTCCTTCTATACCGGTTCCCTTCTACTTAGTCAAGACAAGTAGCCCATCTTACAGAGTGGGAATAGAAGCTATGGTGGTGGGTTTTTTTTTATTTGTACCTTTACTGTTATGAGGAAACGAAACTAGCTCTTGTGACTCTCACAGTGCACTCAAGCCACATCAGTATGCAAGGCATTAGGGGAGAAAGGTCTCTGTTAGAGGGGTGGTCTAGTAGTTAGAGCAGGTCACTGGAATCTGGGGAGATGATTTCTGTTCCTGACTCTTATGCAAGTCACTTAATCTTTGTGCCTTAGTTTCCAACCGGCAAATGAGGATGTGACTGAGCCGCCTTCTGTAAAGCACTTTGAGCCCCTCAGATGAAATGTGGCAAGTACCAAGGAAGGGAAACCAGAACTGCCTAATGTGTGAGCTAGGCTGTAGTGTGGGAAGATGGGTAGCTAGCAGCAGGAATGCATGAGAGAGGCTTGGAACTTGAGAGCAGTTTTCTCTTTGGTCCCTCGGTTAGGGAAAAGAGCTGCATGGACCGGGAATGTGTCCCCAGGGGTAGGTGTCGTCCTCTTCCCTCACCCTGCTTCTGCTGACAGGGTGGGAAAGAGCCAGCCCTAGTCTCTGGTGCATGCCAGGTACGTGAATGTGGTGAATGTCTGACTTGTGGCATCCTTGTCTTTCCCATGGCTGCTATGTGATTCCTCAGACTGTAAGGTTATAGTCACCAGGGGATAACACGGTTAGACCTGAGAGAGCTGATTCTAGAGTGTCTGCATCTGTTTGGCACTGGAATGTCGTGGTGCTTGCCTTTCCCCTGATGTTAGAGGACAGCTGGGCTGGATTTTGCACTGGGAGAAGGGGAGACTTGGATTCATGTGTATTGCTGGGAGCTTGTAGCTGAAGGTCTGACTTTGCTGACTTACTGCTGCCTGTCCTCTCCTGCTTCACACCCTATTCTCTGTGAGAACTGGGGGCGAGGTGGCAAGGGGTGCCAATGGGTGACTGCCTGGGATTGAAGCACAGCTTGCTGGTGTATCGCTGTACGCTTGAAGCAAGATTGACTTCTACGTTGTCTGAGATGTGTGCAAAATGAGCTGCTATTCTTGAATCCAGAAGATGTACACCTTAATGCCTCTGGGTCTGAGCTTGTGCAGGCTTATATAAATGCTGGCCCTGCTTTGATCTGAAGATCACTTCATTGTTGGCTGCTTTTGTACTACAAGGTAGCACATGGGCTTTCTCGAAACTTGTGCATACCAAAAATGTGCATGTTGCGAGGGAGTGTTGTCATCTTAGGCAAACACAAGGCTGGTGAAAGGTGCTGGATTGACACTGGAAACCGCTGTTCTCTGATGCACATGGTGGGCCATGACAGGGCACTGTCCTTGAGGGCACCCCCCTCAAAGGAAAGCCCTTCAGACTAAAAGCCCATTCATATCTGCTGAAGGTACTAAAAAGGGGGCCAGTTGTGAGTAATATGTTGTGGCCACTTGTCTGCTCGGAAAGTCCTGAGGTCACAAGCTCATCTCAGACATCACTGAATAGCCATCAGATAATCTTATTTTTGTCACTATTGACCTGGGCAGGGTTTGGATACCTCACCTAGATGTGACAGGCTCCACATCCTACCCTAGATTCCTTGAGCCATCCTGTCCTTTGGATGTTTACAGCCCTCAGTGTAGTTCTTTTGCTCTATCTTCCTTTCTTCTGTCCTCCCAAACATAGCCCCATCTCAACACTATAAAGCAGTTTTTGTATAAGGATCTCAAAGCACTCTTACAAAAGTATTGCTGCCATTTTGCAGATGGTGAAATTGAGACTCAGATGAAATAATTCATATGACCTTGTGTAAACTGAGTATAGACTTGACTTCCAGTTCTAACCAGTAGCCCATCTGCATCTATGCAGGATTGCTAAGGGCTTTCAAAGCCTGGCTATGGAAAATGTAGTCCTAGGGCAAGAATACATATTTCTTTGTCTTCCTTCCCAGGGTATTTGTGCTGTTGGGAAGTTTCTCGGGGCTGTAACAAATGACTTCAGGTTGGGAGGCCACTTGCTGGGGGAGGTGTCAGGACATGCATGCAGTAGTGCCTCATTCCTCTCCAGCCCAGAACACTATTTTATGGTTTTAGAATCTTTCACCTACAATCTGATTCTCAAACTCTTTCTATTAAAGCTCCGAGCAGGGAGTCTTCGCACATTGTCTCCTCGATAAAATGCACTGTAGCTGATAGATAACTGAGTTATCTGCTTTCTCTCACCAAAAGTTCACTCTTCATTACCCTTTTCCATTGTTAATGTATCTTTCTGTCTTTCCCAGAAGTTCTCAGCAGTTCCCATTAACTCCTTGATGCCACAAGCTAGCGGCCCCTCTCCCTGGAGCTCCAGATGGGGTGGAGCAATGCTTCAGAATATCTCAGCTTTCTGTTGATACCGTTTCCTTTAAGTGGTATAAGTCAGTGGTTCTCAAACTAAGGCCGCCGCTTGTTCAGGGAAGGCCCCTGGCAGGCCGGGCCGGTTTGTTTACCTGCCGTGTCTCTCAGCCCGCGCCATTTCCTGCAACCCCCATCGGCCTGGAGTAGCGAACCGCAGCCAGTGGGAGCCACGATCGGCCGAACCTGCGGAGGTGGCAGGTAAACAAACTGGCCCGGCCCGCCAGGGGCTCTCCCTGAACAAGCGGCAGCCCTAATTTGAGAACCACTGGTATAAGTAACAACCATCTTCACAACTCTGCCACTAAGATGTGTAATCTCAGGCAAGTCACTTCCCCTCCCTCTGCCTCAGTTTCCTTATCTGTAAAAGGAGGTGATGTGGACTCACTTTTCTAAAGCACTTTCAGTTCTGTGGATGAAAAGTACCAGATAAGTGCTAAATATTGTTTTAATGTGTTTCTGGAGACACAGATTGATGGTTGTGAGGGGTGTGAACTGCACTGGTGCAGCACTGTAGATTCTGTGGCTGCTACATTTTGTATTTACAGTGAAGGATTAATGTTACCACAGGAAGTGTGTTGAAAGAAAAGCCTGTCTCATTCTCATGCTTGAAATTTTGATTCTTTTATTTAAGAAACAAGAAGTGAGGGAGTAGGGGTGGGACATATATTTTCTACCTAATATTTTTACTAGGTTAGGATGAGAACTTGTTAGCAACACAAGATAAATACCAGAATAAACAAGAACTTGTTTCATGAGTCTGACTTGTATCCTCTTTCCAAGATCTCCTATCAGATATCAGTGGTAACTTAAATCCTTTCATTAAGAAAAAACAGGATGCATTTGTCTTGAGGAGTCATGACCTATATGTGTAGGAGGGTCTGCATAAAGTCTAGGGTATTAATTCGTTGTGCTGAAGTTTCACCTTAGAGTAGTTAAGATGCTCCTATGGACTCATTTGTATGGACAGTGGTGTGAGCTAATGGCAAAGGTGGGGCGCACTCCTCTCTCCCACTTTGGTGTTCAAGTTGCCAGCCCCACTTGTGAACATAGACTTTTTCCTTCTGCCTGTCCCTAGGGCCTCATCCTATGGCTATTTTATCTCCTCTCCCTGAGACATTAACATGAAAGTTAAGCCAATGTGGGTGGCTTTGCAGGGCTGTCACCAACACTTTTTAGTGTGAGTCAAAAATACTGGTGGGTTTTGTTTTGATTTATGCATTTTTTTACTGCATGGTCCTCCCAGGTGGAATGTGCCTCTGCTAGCTTGAACAGTGGCTGCCAGTGCACATACGGGCCCGATCTGAGGCTCCACACCTTTGGATTTCTCGCTGCTCTGCTGCACCGTGTGTGTGCACCTCCATACTCGGTCTCAAGCAGGAGAGCACCGGAGAGGCCGATATCTTCACTTCCTGAGCCCTTTCCCTCTATTGTGTGTAGGGTTCTTTATTCTACGGCTTCTCTTGAGCTTTGTGTCAGAATGACCCCACAGAAGCCCTTTGGCACTGAGCACTCCTCAATTCAGTTCTGAACTAACTGGCAGGGAAACTCGTGCCTTGAAAAGACTGTGTGTTTAACAATGGATCTACTTTATGCTTTCTGTGACTTCAGCCATCTTTGATCTGGCATACAATCAAAATAAGATTGGGTCAGTTGTGTGAGGATTATATATAGCTGTATTAAGTGACAAGCTACAGAAGTCATTGTGAGCTCAAAAATGCAACCTTCTGTACATCTGTGTATTCATCTAAAGGTAGATCCCTTCTCAAGCCTCCTTTCAGTTAACCTTCAAGCAGTGACTTCCTTTCCACCATTTCTGCCCTCTTCCTTGGCTTTGTTCCCTTGCAGTTCCAGTGTAATTATGGGAGCGTCCCTTTGTTCACATGCTCTCCATTGTATCTGGTAGGCTTGTTTAGGACTTTTCTGACACGGGGGAAAAAACAGGTTTGTGACTTTCTGCAACTTTTTTTCCGGTCTTTCTTGTCTCTTCTCTTCCACCACCCCCTTTTATGGGAACCATTTCACCCCTGGAGGAAAGGGGATGAAGTCACTGAGGTCTAGTAAAACCGGGATTGCTTCTGCTATATGTTTTTTTTTAATTTAGAAGAGTGAACGTAGAAGATGTTTTGTAATCAATAAATCATGTGCCAGGTGTGATGGTCATGTGTTCGTTACTCATGCAATGTTAGGGTCCAGGTTGTTAGTGTGTCCTTGTGCCTTTCTGCCTCCCTGGCATCATGTCAAAAGTTGTTCTCTTGTAAGAGTAATTGTGAGAAATGTTTGGCTAAAAGAAGGAAATGGAGCGAGGGAGACAGCTACAAACTCCTGTTGCTGCTGTGCTGCAGACACGTGTGCTCTGGTGAGTTGTACAAAGTAAACTCTTCTAGAGGTAAGAAATCTGCATGACCCTGCCAGCTGCTCTGTGAGGTGACTGACTTCAAAACCACAGCTGTTTTTTGGCTGGGAGTCTCTGCTCCAGTGCAGAATTTTAGTTGGCATGCCAGAAAATGAGTTCTGGTTTTATTCAGAGAAACAGTGATATGAAAATGCTGAATTGTATAAGGTTTTTCTTATGTAATGGGATAAAAATACAGGCTTTAAGACTGTAACAACCAGAAAACTATAGTGAAGTGTGGGTAACCAGCAGCGTAGCAGTAGGTTTGTAGGGGGATATACTTACAAAGACGGGCTAGTGAGTGCTGACAGAGTTGTACTGCATCTAGTTATGCTCCATTGGAGGCTAGTAATGTTAATCCATATATCCAGACTTCAGTTGGTCCTATGGTGTCATGTTTTGGAGCTCTGCTATAATGCTACATTAGCGTGTTGGCTCTGTTGCTTTGATCCTAGGAGATAGCAGGCTTGGAAGCTTTACTGTGTCTTGTGGGTGGGTACAGGCATGCCCTAAAGAGCTGGCTTCCAGACAGACAGCTGCAGCTGGTAGACTTCTCTTGCATCTCTCCATGGTTTGGCTGTTCTTCCAGTGTCTTCCCTTTTGTTTTCTCACTCTGGCAGCTGGCAAAATCCTCTCTTAAAACATCTTCTGCTTCCTGCGGTTCATCCGCCTGACAGAATTGCCATCTGCTTTGCAATGACTGGAATGCCAAGTGCATTGAGGAATTCAGGGAAAAGTTTATTCATGCACTGTGGGTGGGGAGACAGACTATCGCCAGCTGCTCGGTGAGCTTAGCAGAACCTACTTAAGCTTAGAGAGGAGACTAGGGAGAGAATCCACTGGTGGTTTAGGAGATCCAGAGGGCTTGGATGCCAGTCACTGGGGCTGGGGAACGTCTTGTGGAAACTGAAATGAGGCAGCGTGAAGCTAGAGGAAACCTTAACATCCCCAGCCTCTACCCTAGGGGGGCAGTCTGACTTGTCAGATGGAGGTTGATGCTTGGTGTCACTGGCCTTAGAAATGGACACTATTTGTTGGGTTGCTGATTTGCAAGGATCAACTGAATTTAACAGAAGCTGTTAATTTTTAACCAGTAACTGTACTTAGTAGCAACTATCCCTGTTCCTCAGTCGGGAGCTCTCCAAATGCCTTCATTATGTGCCAGCTGCTGGTTGGTGCACTGAGAGAGGAATCTCAAGGAAGTGGAGCCCTTCCCAGGCACACACCGTTTGGCTTTCGCCTGAAGGACACATCAGGCCTCTGCTCCTGGACACACGCCTTGGGACTACCCTGGGGAGCAGTCCCCTCTTGGGGACTCCTGCCCCTCTCACCTGCCATATCTCTCTCCCCCAGCCTTGCTGGGGCAGCTATAGGCCTTGGCTATAAGGCGAAGTAGCAATAGGAGACCATACACCTGAACTCACTCTGAGCCCCGTTCTCCATTCCTTATGACACAAAACTCCCTGGCTTCAGTGTGGATGTGAGGAAGGAACGATCAGGCCCTTCAATGCAACGGGTCTGGCTGCTTGCATTTTCCTAGCCTGTGCCTGGGAGGAGTGGCATAGAGGTGAGCCTGCAGCCAGGCAGCATCTAAGTGTGAGTGTGTGGTATGCTTGAGGCACGTGAACAGCCGCACTCGGGCCCGAAGGTGTCCAAGGGATGTGCGGGCATACTGCTGTACGCCTGCAGGTAGCTCATCCCCAGTGGGTTTCTCACCAGTAAGAAAGCAGGAATGATGGGCGAGGGGAAAGGGAGAACCCCGTCTGGAATTGAACAACTCTAACAAAGTGAAAGGTGGGAGGAGGTGACCTGGCCAGCTCCAGAGATGCCTGTCTGCCAGCCCTGGTCAGATTTGATTTACAGTGTTAATAGGAGTAGTTGGCTGAGTACTGCATCCCCTCCGAGCAACAATCGCAGTCTTGGAGCTGGTCATTTGATAGCTCCTTGGTGCTTGTCAAAGGCGTAAGCCGGAGCAATGCTGGGATTAGATGTACCTGCTGCCCTTGGAGAGCACACGGGGAGATGCAGCTTTTACCCCTCCCCCAGCTCGGGATTGAGCTCTTGCTAATCACTGTAACCATGACAACCAGGAGAGACAGGCCGCAAAAGCAGCTATCAACATGGCAACGTCCTCGGCACAGGGCAAAAAAACCCAGTTAAAACAGCCGCTTGGAGAGGAAAGAGCGGCCAGCGAACAGCCTGGGCTCTCCTACACGGGGGCGGGGGGGGAGAGATGTAGTAGCGCACATGGCTGCTCTGCACGTGGCTGAGGTAATTTCCCACCCTTCGGTCCAGTGTCTGGGCAAGGCCCCTGTCCTTATTAAGCCTCCCCAGTGGGGGATGCAGCAGCCTGAGCTAGAAGACAGTAGGCTCGAACGGACTGGCTACTCTGAGCAACCTGCACAAGGACAGCTGAGAATGGTGCTAGCCAGCCCTGGAGACAACCCCGGAGCAGGCTCTTACGACAGCTCTGTTCCCAATGGCAAAAGAACCGCTGCTGGAACTAGGCTCATGCCAATACTTTCTATGAGGGGATTAGTAGCTAGTGTCACCTGCAGGGTAGGCCCCATGCTCACACTCTTAGTCCCTCTTTCTTTCTTACCCCGAGGAAAGGTTTTCAGCGCTGCTTA